ATCCCAGTTAATAAAGATCATAAGAAGCATTTTACTTTCAGCTAGGAAATCCAATACACCTTCTCTATTAAAAACCAAGGGTTATATAAACTCTCCAGCACTATGCCATAATTAATTGGCAGGTATTTGATCAACTTTCTCTTTTACAATATATAGCACTAATCTTATTACACAGACCAATACATATATCACACATATTCTCATATGTAAGGATAACACTATGCTGATTGAACATAGTGAAGAAGAAGCAGTAAATATTTATGTTTATGTGCCAGAGGGGGGAATTAAATCTAAAAAAGTTCAGGGGACTTCTACCTCAGTGAAATTTCCTGGATTCCAGTGTTGTGGCATGGTGTGGAGCATATCGAAATGTCTCTTCTAAAGCGAAGCTTAAGTTGTTGCAGCTGGCACCTCCTATAGCCAATAATAGGGGCATAGCATGATTCTAGTGAGCCTCTGTGATCTAGAGCTTCTTTGGATTTTGAAAGCAACATATTTCTCATTTGGATGTGTTGCTCTGGGACACTTACTAAGTGATCCAAAAAGCTGCTAGTTTTGAGTTGGTCCCAGAACAAAAAAAGAAAAAAAAAAAAAAAGGATCTGTGACAGGTTCAGTCTTCTGTGCAAGCTGTTCTATCACTTAGGCCATATGATTCTGCTGACCTAATGGTGCTTGAAGTGTTAGGAGCAGATAAAATTACCGTGCGGAGCTTTGGTCAGTCCCCTGTCAGTTAACTGCCATGCAGCCATTTAGAATTTTGAAGCAAAGCCCTGACACCCTCTGGGGATAGCTACTAATCTTTTGTTAAATAATTTTTACAAATTATCTGCGCCTTTGTAGAAACTGAAAGATTGAGTATGGGCCACCAAATTACCATGGGACCTAAGTTGCCTATCATGAATTATGTGCTTACTGACTCACCAACCCATACAGTTGGGCATGCACAGCAGCATTTAATCATCAAATGGAATTGGTATATATATGATCTGACCTAAGCAATCACTGAAGGCACAAGTAATTTATGTGAAAAAGTGACCCAAATTTCCATGGTACCTGCTTCTGCTAAACTATCTTTTCTCTTTTTGCTCTTACCCATGGTCTCATGGAAAGCTCCTTAACATCAGTTGACAGAGAAAGAGAAGACATAGGTATGGTTTACAAATGGTTCTCCGTGATATCCAGCACCAAATGATAGTGAAAGGTACAGCACTACAGCCCCTTTCTGGGACATCCCTAAAAAATAGTCGTGTAATTGTCCCAGTCAGCAGAAATTTGAAAAGGGCACCTGGTTGTTCATTTCAAGGAATTTCATTGAGGAAAAAATAGTGATCTTCCTTCAAATGGAAAGATGTGCAAATAATATACTGAATCATAAACTGTGGCCAATGGTGTATCTGGATGCAAGGGATTGAAAGAAACCTGATTGGAAAATTAGTGACAGGAAAATCTGGAGAAAATATATGTGAATAGGCATGGCACAGTGGCTTATGCCTGTAAACCCAGCACTTTGGGAGGCAGAGATGAAAAGGTTGCTTAAGCCCAGGGCTTTGAGACCAGCCAGGCAATATGGTGAGATCCTGTCTATAAAAAATACAAAATTATCTAGGTGTGGTGGTACATGCCTGAAGTTGCAGCTACTTGGGAGGCTGAGCAGAGAGGATTCCTTGGGCCCAGGGGTTGGAGGCTGCAGTGAACCGTGTGGTCAAACCACTGCACTCCTGCCTGGGCAACAGAGCAAGAAAAAAAAAAAAAAAAAAAAAGATATGTTTTTAGTTTTTAGGCCTCTCTGCATGGTGAAAAGCATAAAGATCTCTGTACTTTATTTCAGTGCCCACCAAAGAACAACTACAGCAGAGGAGGATTTTAATAGTCAAGTGGATAAGATGAACTATTCTGTTAATTCCTGCAACCTCTTTCTATAACTTTCTTTCTTTTTGCCCAATGGGCTCATGAACGAAGTAGTCATGGTTGCAGGATAGAATTATACATAGGCTCAGCAATATACACTTCCAGCAAGGCTGACCTGGCTATAGCCATTTCTGTAGCCCCAATATTTGCCAATAGCAAAGACCAACACTGTCCCCTCCAACACCCCCACACATATTGCACCATTCCCCAGGGTGATCATCAGCCAGCTACCTGGTGGCAGGTTGATTACATTGGACCACTTTCATCATGGAAAGGGCATTGCTTTGTTCTCTCTAGAACAGACACTTATTCTGGGTACAGATTTGTCTTCCCTGCTTGCAATACTTCTGCCAAAATAACTATTCATGGACTTACAGAATGTCATAGCCACCATTTTGGTATTCCACTCAACACGACTTCTGATCAAGGACCTTACTTCATAAAAAAAGGAATGTACAAATGGATTGCACTGGTCTTATTGTGTTTCCCATGATTCTGAAGCAGCTGGTTATAGAATTGCGGAATAGCCTTTTGAAAACTCAGTTACAGTGCCATCTAGAAGGCAATAACTTGCAGGACTGAAGCAAGGTTATCCTCCAGGCTGTACATGCTCTGAATTGGTATCCCGGTGCTGTTTCTGCCACAGAGTTCATAATTCCAAGAATGAAGGAGTGGAAATATGAGTGACAACACACACTATTTGCTAGTGTCCAACTATAAAAAATTTGCTTCATATTCATGTAATTTTATGCTTTAGTGCTCTAGCAGTATTAATTCCAAAAGAAGGAGTGCTACTACCAGGAAACATGATAATTCTACTGAATTGAAAGTTAATATTGCAACCTAACGATTTTGGACTATTCATGCTTCCAAATTAATAGGCAAATAAGGGCATTACTGTGCTTGCTGGTATGATTTTTCTGGTCTACCAAGGAGAAATTGGACAATGGAGGTAAATAAAATTACCTTTACAATGGAGGTAAAGAAAAGTATGTCTTGAATACAGAAACTAGGGTATCTTACTAGTACCACACTCTGTGTTTGAACTTAATTTGAAAACTACAAAAACACAATTTAGACAGGATTACTAATGGCCCAGGCCCTTCAAGTATGGAGGTGCACTGCACCAGATAAAGAACAATTAAGTAAGGTGCTTGTTGAAGACAAAGGGAATATGGGATGGATAGTGGAATAAAGTAGTTATGAATACCAGCTACAACCATGTGACCAGTTATAGGATTAATTATTCTAGTTGTCCTGAGTATTTCACCTATGTTATGAATATGTGTGTAGGAATTATATTTCTTTTCCTCTGTTATTCTTTCAACATGTAACATAAGATGTACTGACCGCATATGATATTTATGTATTATTAATTTTACATTGTATTATTTCAGTTATGAGCTATAAAGGAGAAGGGTAAACATCAATCAGATACTTTGTATCCTCTTTGGAGGATGGAGTCCTGTATGTTCAATTGTACACAGAATAGTTGTATTATGTTAAGTGAAAGTATAACCTTGTTACTGTTGTTATTTTAGAGATCAATTACTGCTTAAGAAGAGGCATATGGGTGCCAAGTTGACAAGGGGTGGACTTGTGATGGTTAATTTTATGTGTCATGTTGGAGAGTGTTTGAGATGAGATTAACATTTAAAACTGATAAAATCTGGGCAAAGCAGATTGCCCTCTATAATGTGAATGGGCCTCATGCAATCAGTTGAAGTCTTGAAAATAACAAAAAGACCAGACTCCTCAAGCAAGAGAGAAAGTCTCCAGCACTGCCTTTGGATTTGGCTCCATCAGCGTTCCTGGGTCTCTAGGCTTCAAGCCCACACTGTAAATTTTAAAGTTTCCATCTTCCATAATCACACAAGTTACATCTATGTAATAAACCTGTATAATCTATATAAATAATAACTTGTAATACATTTGTTAAGTATATAAATATTTTGATTCTCTGAAGAACTCTGACACACTATTCTATTTCCTTCTGTCTCCCAGTGATTCTGATGAGAAGATTAGCTGTTTTCTTATTGGGGTTCATTTGTACATGATGAGTTGTATTTTTCTTGTTGCTTTCAAGATTTTTGCCTTTATTTTTCAACATTTTTATGATGTGTCTTTGCATTTCTCTGAGTTTGCTCCATGTCTTGGATATTTAGATTAATGTTTTTCACCAAATGTGAGAAGTACTTGGCCATTTTGTATTGAAATGGTCTTTCTGACACTTTATGGGCCTCTCAATATGCTAATGTTGGTATGCTTAATGATATGTGCAGGTCTCTAATGTTATTCAGATTCCCAGAAATACAGATTCACAGAAATACATTGGAGGTTTATAAAACCCACCATAGGACATCTCATTTCTTTCTTTTTTTCATTGTTTTGGTCAGCCTGTTGTTAGGCATAATTGATAACAGCAGCTTAGGGAGCTAAAATATGAAAGAATTATCTCTGACTATTTTTAATAAGCACTCTGGTAATAAGGCTGTTCACATAGAGCAAGTTTTGATTCACATCAAATAAAAACAAGCCCTAAGAATGAAGCTTTTTAGCAAGCTGCTAAGCAAACCAAATAGTGATGATTCTCTGGTGATCTGAGTTTGATGGAAGGCCAGAACCTTTTTGCCTCTTCCAGTGGCTCCTAGGTGCCAGGTTTTCACAGCTACTATTCATTAGGCTGTAGATATTCAAGTCTACAAGGGAGCTAGCAGAGATGGATGAGATTAAGACAAATCAAAATGATATAAAGCCCACTCTTGTTACTTAGACTTAGCCATTTATCTTATGTAAATATTCTTCATATTGCTGGATCCTTTGATCTCCAAAATTATGAAAAAGTTTTTGACTTTCTTTTCAGTGTTATTGGTATATAATTACGGAATAGCCTATTGTTGCTTTTATTAAAGCTGAGTTTTAAGAGATTTTATTCTAGTATTCTGGAAGTGTTTTCCTCCTCTATCAATGTGTATTTCCTTAGATATTTATTCTAGGGTTATAGTTATTCATTGAGTCCTTCATTTTCCTTACATTATTTTTATCAACATTTTTATTCACGTTACTTCTGTTTGAAAGATAATTGTCATGCTTGCTTTGGCAGCACATATGCTAAAATTAGAATGATACAGAAAGATTAGCATGGCTCCTGCTCAAGGATGACACACAAATTTGTGAAGCATTCCATATTTTTAAAACATAGTACTGGTCCCAAAACAGAGATATAGACCAATGGAACAGAACAGAGGCCTCAGAAGTAATGCCACACATCTAAAACCATCTGATCTTTGACAAACCTGACAAAAACAAGCAATGGAGAAAGGATTCCCTGTTTAACAAATGGTGGTAGGAAAACTGACTAGTCATGTGCAAAAAGCTGAAAGTGGACCCCTTCCTTACACTTTATACAAAAATTAACTCCAGATGGATTAAAAATTTAAACATTAGACCTAACACCATAAAAACCCTAGGAGAAAACCTAGGCAATACCATTCAGGCCTTAGGCATAGGCAAGGACTTCATGACTAAAACAGCAAAAGCAATGGCAACAAAAGCCAAAATGACACATGCGATCTAATTAAACTTAAAAGCTTCTGCACAGCAAAAGAAACTATAATTAGAGTGAACCAGCAACCAACAGAATGGGAAAAATTTTTTTGCAAGCTACTCATCTGACAAAGGGTTAATATCCAGAATCTACAAAGAGCTAAAACAAATATACAAGAAAAAGCAAACAACTTCATCAAAAAGTGAGCAAAGAATATGAACAGGCACTTTTCAAAAGAAGACATTTATGCAGCCAACAAACATGAAAAAACGCTCATCATTCCTGGTTACTAGAGCAATGCAAATCAAAACCACATTGAGATACCATCTCATGCCAGTTAGAATGGCAATCATTAAAAAAATCTGGAGATAACAGATGCTGGAGAGGATGTGAAGAAATAAGAAAGCTTTTACACTGTTGCTGGGAATATAAATTCGTTCAACCATTGTGGAAGACAGTGTGGCGATTTCTCAAGGATCTAGAAATAGAAATACCATTTGACCCAGCAATCTCATTACTGGGAATACATCCAAAGCATTATAAATTGTTCTTTCATAAAGACACATGCACACATATGTTCATCGTGGCACTGTTCACAATAGCAAAGACTTGGAACCAACCCAAATGCCGATCAAGGATACACTGGATAAAGAAAATGTGGCACATATACACCATGGAATACTATGCAGCCATAAAAAGGAATGAGTTCATGTTCTTTGCAGGAACATGGATGAAGCTGGAAACCATCATTCTCAACAAACTGACACAAGAACAGAAAACCAAACACTGCATGTTCTCATCTCATAAGTGGGAGTTCAACAGTGAAAACACATGGACACAGGGAGGGGAACATCACATACTGACATCTGTTGGGGGTGGGGTGCGAGGGGAGGGATATCAGGGGTTGGGGAGATTGGGGAGGGATAATATTAGGAAAAATATCTCATGTAGGTGAAGGGGGGTTAGATACAGCAAACCACTATGGCATGTGTATACCTATGCAGCAATCTTACAAGATCTGCATATGTACCCCAGAACTTAAAGTAAAATTTAAAAAAAAAAAAAAGGAAAAACTACAAAATGAAAAAGTCTGGAGACAACAGATGCTGGAGAGGATGTGGAGAAATAGGAATGTTTTTATGCTTTGTGGGACTGTAAATTAGTTCAGCCATTGTGGAAGAGAGTATGGCAATTTCTCAAGAATCTAGAAATAGAAATACCATTTGACCCAGCAATCCCATTACTGGGTATATACCCAAATGATATAAATCATTCTAAAAAAAGAAAGAAAGAAAGAAAGATGACTGTCATGCATATTGTAACTTAGCTATACCCTCTACACAAGCAAATGCCAATTTTATTTTTACTTTCTTTACTACAAGTATACAATTGTTTCCACTTACCTCAGGATTAAAAAAAAAGTAACTTATCTTAAACAATCTTACAATATGACTTCCAAGACATTTGTTACTAACATCCCAAGATATTGGATATAAATTGTAGATGAACTTATCTTCTGACTTTGAAATTAGTAAAAGCAACACAATTAATTGGAATTATATACGTCTTGTTAGGTGTGACATATTAATTAACACACCAAGTCTGAATTCACCAAGTAGGCATTTGAACCTCGGGCAAATATTTTGCATTTATTTATTTATTTATTTATTTTACTTATATATTTTTTGAGATGAAGTGTCACCCTGTTGCCTAGGCTGGAGGGCAGTGGTGTGATCTCAGCTCACTGCAACTTCTGCCTCTGGGTTCAAGTGATTCTCCTGCCTCAGCTCCTAAGTAGCTGAGAATACAGGCATGTGCCACACGCATGGCTATTTTTTTGTACTTTTAGTAGAGATGGGGTTTCACCATGTTAGCCAGGATGGTCTCGATCTCCTGAAGTCATGATCCACCTGCCCCAGCCTCCCAAAGTGCTGGGATTACAGGGGTGAGCCACCATGCCTGGCCTAATTGAAATTATCTATGCTTTGTCATTTGTGACATTAAATAACACATAAAAATCTGAGTTCACAAAGTGGGCATTCAAACTTTGGGCAAATATTTTGTCTTCTTGGGTTCAATTTCCTGACTTTCAGTGTAGGTATCAGCACTGCTGTGTGAACCAAGAATCAAATAAGTTAGAAAACACAACTCAAATGTCAGTTAGTGCTATTTCCTAAATATTATGTATTCTAGAAAAGATTTATAAGCAAAAATTTGATGAAAAGTCATTATCTTCCAAATCAAATAAGACAGCCAAAACATTATTGCAGTTTAATGGAAGAATCTGATACTGTGTCCTTAGAAAAGAATAACTGGAAATAAGTGATGTAAAAAGCTTTCCAACACATATAATTTTTTTCCTGTGCTTTTATATAGCAGACTGGCATACTGCATTCAACCTTGAAAATGGAGAGTGGATGGGCAAACATTTATCACCATTTATAGTCATTTTCGAAGCAAGAATGATACTGTTTCTGTCTTCCAGTTCTGAATATTTCAAGCACAATTTTTGCTGTAAAGCAGTTTATCAGCTTCTTCATATTTTAAATAAAATATCCCTTTAAAAACATAATTGCTCTCACCCAGTATCTAGGCTGTTCTTCTCTCCTATAGTAATCAAAAATCTATTATTTAGATGAACTAAATAAATTAGTTATGTATAATAAAGGCTAATTTAACTCTTTACTTCTTTCTCTGAATGTTATTTACAACATAATATACGGAAAATTATTTTATTTCCAAAGTATTAAAATTCTTGGGCAGGTTTATACAGTTCTCAGGAAATAAAAGATTTCCAGAGAATTGAGACTATATATTTAGCTGGAACCTCTGCAGCTAGTGTGTCTTTCTTATGATCATAAGAACAACAAAAAAAATCGAAATGACAGCCTACTCAACAACTCATGGGTAGTTCAATGGTGCCTTACCTGCAGTATGCCAAACAAATGGATCATCACTTTCCTTCCTGCAAATTAGTCACGTTCCTACATTATTTAATCAGTGCATAATACTATCTTTCATCAAATTGTGGAAGAAATTATCTATTACTTCACTCACTTATCCAATCCACTAAAATTTCAGCTTATGTCACCTCCTAAATATTCATATCTGTTTGCTCTGTTGTGTCTTCACTGACATTAGCTTAGCTTAAGTTAATATTACTCATTTCACAGATACATCCCCCTAACTAACGTGTCTGCAGGTATAAATTTCTTCATCCAATTCATTCTTTTTACTGAAGCTGGTGTGGTATTTTGAAAGTGTAAATAATAATGTCCCAGGCAGGCTTAAGTCCAATCAGTGCTTTTCCATTGTTGCTAATGTAAAGCTTAAAATTCCTAAGACAAGGACTTTTTATTTATTGTATTTATTTATTGTTCTCGTCTCTGCCTACCTATTATTTAATAATGTTATTTCCTTTCAGTTTCTAGCTTTGAAACTAGTGGTGTATTAGAATATGGTTAACAATCAGTTTTCTGGGATAAATGAAGCCAGGATTTATATTATTTGCCATTATCTGTGGTATAAATCATCATATGTGGCTGGTATCAAGTTAACATGATATCAATGAATGTAAGGATGGGAAAAGATGCACAAAATTAAGCTTCCCTGAGCAAGTCCAGCTTGACTCCTACACACGACTGGTTCTAAACACTTGAGTCTTTGCATATGTTATTTCCTAAGCTTAGACCACTGCCCCATCTCTCTGTTTTCATTCATCTTTGTTTCCAGGCAAATATTAAGTTCCTATTTCTTCAGGGAAACCTTCCCTAACTCACAGACTAGATCAAAACACTTTACAATGTAATCTTCTAACATCTGTACTTTGTAAAATTCCTGTCTTGTATTTCCTATTATAATTTTTAATGTATTTAATAATTATCTAACTAACATATACCTATCTTCCAATAGACTATGCAAACAAAGGCAGTAGAGATCATTATTTTGTTTGTTTCATTTTGCTTTTACTTTTGGATGTCTAGACTAAGTCTCTGGCACAGTGTATATTCTCATTAAATATGAGTAAGATGTATAAATAAAATATACAAAGAGAAAAGAACATTTCAATGATGCACCAAAATACATTTATTTGTCACTTTACCAGGAAAAATGCATGAAAAAAATCAGATTATAATTGTCTTAATAGCTGCTTAAATTCTCAGAAGCCAGGCAGGCTTTCTGTATTAAAAACAATTCTCTATTAATTACATATGTAATAAGAACTGTGAATTGCCTTTCATAACATCCATTCCATCCTCTTTTAGTTACTATTTTGGACCTCTAAAAATTACATATTTGAATCTTCTCTACAGTAAGGGGTCTGCATGTAAATTGCTTTCCTCTAATAAGAAAAATGCCCCCAGAGAAGAAGTCAAATTGTCTCTGTTTGCAGAAGACATAATAATATATTTACAAAACCCCACTGTCTCAGCCCACAATCTCCTTAAGCTGATAAGCAACTTTAGCAAAGTCTCAGGATACAAAATCAGTGGCAAAAATTACAAGCATTCCTATATACTAATAATAGACAAAAAGAGAGCCAAATCATGAGTGAACTTCCATTCACAATGCTACAAGAGAATAAAATATCTAGGTATACAACTTACAATGGATATGAAGAACATCTTCAAGGAGAACTACAAACC